GGGTTTGAACCGCCAGCTTTCTGGTTAGCAGTCAAGTGCCTTAGGCATTACTCCACCAGCCCTAATACTAAAACTCCCTGCTTCTCTCAAATAATAGTAGTAGATGCTTGATGTCGATAGAGAGCATTCTGAACAGTGTGGTAAATGTCCTATTGAAAGAGACATGTCCTTTTTGGTAGTATCCCAACAGTGTGGCCAAATTCATTGCCAGCTTTTAAGCTATATGCTTTCTGTATGAAGGGTTTCATATGTAAAGATTAACATGTTAATGTTGCCTTTTTACTTGACTGTTGGGCATTAATGACAGAATAGGAAAATAAATCAGGAATACAAAGTCAATAACTAAAAGAAAATAAAAGCATTTTAATACTGATTTTTAAGCTGCTGTTAGTATTATTCTCAGTTGCTGACAGATGATAATTCATGGCAAAGACACGGTAGATACTTCACAGGAACTTCAAACAACTTCAACAGCAGTAGACACCAATTCTACATTTTTATAATATATTTAAAGTCATTCTTTTACTCATAAACACTCATGTTAGGATTCTTTCCAATTTTGTAGTCTATACTGTATTAATTTCAGCTGCTGACAGATGATAATTCACGTGAACATCCCTAGGTTCATAATTCAGGGTGGCACAGGCAACTGAGACCACCAAAATCATTCTGGCAATACAAGTGTCTCAAATATTTTCCTTTCTATCTTTCCCTTTCCATGTCTTTGTGAAAATAGAATAGCCTGAATAGCATGATTTAAGGGGAAGACCCACACACCAAAATTGTTTTGTTATTGGCAGATGTATCACAGTTAGAGATGTGTTTGGTTTAGTTGATAGTCACCCTTGGGAAGGTGAGTGGTGAATGTAGAAGGAGGGAAAGAAAGGAAAATGGCAGCTATTCACACGTCAGTATAAGGTTTATGATTAGCTCTCTGGTGGTAGTGTCATGTGAGATCGGGACTTCTTACTTAGAGGGATCAGAAGAATTCATACTACCAGGTACTTCAGAGGAAGGTGAGGGATAGGGGAGTAGTGCAGAAGAGTGCTTTGGATAGGGAAAAGACAACAAGTAGACACGGGCTCCTAAGGGATGAGGGTGGAAGGAGGAGCAGGAATACAGAAAGGGAGGTGAAGTAAAACCCAAACCAGGTCCACCTCTGCTGCCTACCCCTCTTGTCATTCCTCGTTACAAAGGAGAGCTGCCGTCCACCTGCTAGGAGGGTCTGCTCTCTTCTCACCCTGTTTTATTCTGCCTTAAGTGGCATGAAAAAGCAGTAAGGCATGTACCCTTGGAAAGTGAGCTAGCTGCATTATATGCTGAAGCATAAACAGTCTTTATGAGTATCAAGAGACTCTTGTTTAACAGCATTGGTTATGTGTTGAATTAGATGTTGTACACTGTGCAATAGCAGTGAGGGATCAAACAAAAAAGTCAAGTAGTGTCCTCAAGGATTTTACTTAATAACAAAAATCAGATATGTAAGAATATAATTATAATACTGGCAATATGTGGTAAGCACTATAAAGAAGGCACAAGGAAGAGAATATTTCTGGTGAGAGATGGGGAGAAATGGGGAATAATCATTTGTGAGATAATATTTGAACTGACCTTAAAGGATAAGTGTAATATGTCTGCAGCAGTGAGCTCAAGCATGGCAATGATTGTGAAAATGGTGCAGGACCAGGCAGGGTTCTGTTCTGTGGTACATGGTGTCACTGTGAGTAGGAACCACTCAGTGACACCTAACAGCAACAACAACAACAGACAGGTAGAGGATAATTTAGGCAGAAGAAAATGTGTGAATGGTATGTGGGTTTAAATTAATAGTTCATTCTGTCTGCAATTTAGATCGTATTAAAAAGAATTTTGGAAAATTATATAGAAAGGTCAATTGAATGCAGGTTTACTAAGGACTTTGAATGTCAAACTTGAATGTGGGCTTTGTTCATTTATAGGGACCCACTGGTGTTTTTTGAGTAGGAGAGAAATTTAATCACATGTGGGAGCCTGAATAATGTGAGCAGTTTGTGATTGGATGCTAACTTAAAGGTTGGCTGTTAGAAACCACCCAGAGGCACTATGGAGGAAAGGCTTGGCCAGTTGCTTCCATAAAGATTACAGCCTTGAAGACTATGGGGGCAGTTCTACTCTGTAACACATGCAGTTGACAGGAGTCAGGGCACACTTGACAGCAGTTAACAACAGCAGCATAATTTAGTTAGATTAATGTGCCAGGCAGGATGGATTAGAGAACAGGGAGACTTAGGCACTAGATAATTAAGTGGCTACTGTGATCACAGAAGAGGTAGTGAGACCTAAACTTGAATTGTGGCAGTAGGAATGTAAAGAAAGGAGAGACACTTCAGAGATTCAGATTATGAATGCCAGTGATGAGCCTGCACCTGTGCTTGTGCTGTACTTTGTTACATGTTACAAAGACTTAAAATCTGGTTAGAACAGGAGAGGAAAAAGAAGATGAACGGAGTGTTGACTAAGGTTTACAATCTGGATGACCTAAAAAATGGTGGTGCTAATAACAAAAAAAGGTCATTGGGAAGAGCAGTAGTTTTATCTACTTACCATGTAATAAAACCAAACCCACTGCCATTGAGTCGATTCCAATGCATAGTGTCGCCTATTGGTTTTCTGAGATGGTAAATCTTTACAGAAGTAGATTGCCCCATCTTTCTTCCATGGAACAACTGGTGAGTTTGAACTGCCAGCCTTCTGGTTATCAGTCACATGCCTTAGGCACTGTGCTACCTGAGCTCCTAGCATGTAATAGAAGTGTAGAAATGGCACTCAGGAGAATGGAAGACCAGGAAGATAGGGGTCAGCTTTGGCATGTTGGTAGACAGATACCAGGAAAACAGGGTTTCCATCCTGATTCTAAGGAGTCCTGGTGCATAATGGTTAAGAGCTTGGCTGGTAACTGAAAGGTTGGTGGTTTGAACTCACCCAGTGACTCCATGTGAGAAAGACATGACAGTCAGCTTCTGTGAAGAGTACAGCCTAGAAAACCCAATAAAGGCAGTTCTCCTCTCTCATGTGGAATTGGTATGAGTCAGAATTGACTCAGTGGTACCTAACAACAGCAACAACATCCTGATTCTTCAGTTAATTAGCTGTGTATCCTGGGTTAAGATGTATGTAATTTCTCCAGGACTCTTTTATTTTGTCACATCAGTTGTGAGGGATTCTGGTGAAGTGATTTGACAGTCTCTTCCAGTTCTATATTTTATCTTTTGAGTTTTATCTGTAAAATTCTGAGTCTCAGGCTAGATTAGTGACTGATGAAGTGTTCTTCATCAGATGAGTCCTTCATCAATAGACAGGAGATACTTACCTGGTTGGTCATTCATTCTGTAAAAATATTACAGTAACAAGCTTGTAAACTGGATATGTTTTACGATACTCTCTAGGTTTTATATGTACCAGTTCTTTAAAAAGGTAGAATTAAATCTAACCTGACAACTGAGTTTCAGCATGTGTCAAAGTGATTTTAGGTTAAGAGAATAGTATTTTTACTTTTTAAAAAATTTATAACAATTTACAAATTTTTATTTCTTAGGTTCACTAATGTATTTAAATGAAGCCACACTTCTCCATAATATCAAAGTTCGGTATAATAAAGACAGAATTTATGTAAGTATTTTATCTATGGTTTATGTTTTTGTGAGATTATTTATTTTACATATTACTGTTTGATGTTTTGGACTTGAGATTTTCTAACAGGAAACCATACATGATCTGAGCCTGTTGAGTGGAGTGTGCACTCTGTGAAGACAATGATTTTTATCCTCATTAGCTGCTCTAACTCCTGGCATCTAGTAGGCACTTAGTTAATACTTGTGGAATGAAAATTAATTCAGAAACATTATCTGATATCTTCCAGACTAAAATAAAACATCCAGGTTGATTATTTTAAAACACTATAGTTATTTTTCATTCTGATTTTGTTTTTCTGGTGTCTCTTTGTAGATCTATTTGATAAATCCACTTTCTATATTGTTATATAGAAATATAGAATATATATTTCTATATTGTTATATATATTGTTATATAGAGAATTTAAGGCAACCTATAGGAAATATATATTGAAATAAAAAGTTTGAATAAAGATAAAATACAAATTAGAATAGAAGGCAGTATGTGAGGAAATAGCAAGAACACAGAAAGCTGACCGTAGAACCTAAATAGTTCTGTAGTGTTTCAGTAAGCTCTAGATATCTTGCTTTAACATTCTATATTAGAAAATGAAAAGAATGCTTTTAATGTAAATCATCAGGGTTTACACCAGTCATTCAGATGGATACTGACTGGTATGCTTTAATTATAAGTATTCATTGGTTAGTGTACAAGATTTTATTCTGATACGATCTCGTGGTAGATTCCTTTGTTGGCTGGAGATAAATTACTCACTATAGTTCTCCTCTTATAAAGATGGGACTCTTCATTATTTTTGAACGAAGAAAACACATGGCTTCTTTGAAACCTCTTAGATCAGATGACAGTCTTAGTCTTTTATATCACTATCAATTTGCCTAATTGTACTTACTTAATTCTGACTAAATTACCTTTAGTCTTTGCCATCTGTCTAAGTAGTGACAGCTGGGAAGTAGAACTAATCTAGTTTTTTCCAAAAGAGTTAACTTGACATCATTCGAATGTGTGTGTGTGTGTGTGTGTATGTATATATTCAAGAGTTTCTTGAATTTCTCAAAATCAATTAAGCAGTATATTTATATGGCTATTCTCGATTAGAAAAAATACCTTGATACAAAATCCACTCAATTGGCAGATCATACTGGGCATTTGATGTGTGCTAAATACTGCCCTTGGCACTGAGAAAATACAGATTTTTAATGTTGTGCTTGTTCAAATGGTTTAACTTTTAGTGAATAAAGTGGAAAGTTGGTATAAACAGAACACATCAGTTTTCAGGTAGAACTTCTCAATTTTTTTTTTTTTAAACCTGTCTTACATCACTTCGTGGTAGTGTAGGAATCTTCTTTATTTGAACAAATTTTAATTGTTTTAATATCTTCTTGAGATTTGAAAATCTTTTTATTTTACTGAGTGATTGTAATTTCTTTTTATCTGAGATAATTTATTTTTATTTGGGATGTTTATGCAAAGGATTAATAGCCCTTTGGGTTATTATCTCATCTGTCTTTTAATGCTTTCTGTGTTACAGTAGTAATACACTTCCTGACTGTGAAGATTAATAACTGAAAATTTATGTATAATATTTTAATTATACTTAGAAAAGTTAGTTGCCCCATTTTTTCACATTAGGTGCAGTTGATCTACAAGTCTTTGCTGAATTGTGTGATTGATAGAAAAAAATGATATCTAGTTCTCTGGGAAATTTTAAGTTTTTGCTCCTTATATATAATATCTGCATCACATTGAAGAACTGAGTTTTTAGGGTTCCTTTTAGCTTTCTTTTGCTACTTTCTCTTGTAAGATATGTCTACGGTTAGATGACCTCTTTTAGATCATGGCTGTCTCAACATGAGTTCCTGTTTGGAGACAGAATATTTTTTAGTTAACTGAAGCCATAGTTGGTATGCTTTTTTTTTTTTTTCCCCAAGTCAGTTACGCCTTTTAGTTATATAAAAACCATTAGAAAGTAGCAATATATAACTATAGTCATTATTAGTATGTTAATATGTAAGGGAAGGAAGCAATTTAAAATAAGAGTTTATATTTGATATTTTTATATTTTTCACTAATTGGAATTATCACATCCTCCTTTAGATTTGAGTAGAATGATAGCTAATCCACATTTAATGTTCTTCGTGGTTATTAAAATCCCTGTGATTTTCTTTTTTTCTCTCCATAGAAAGATTATTATCTAGATATTCCTTATATTGTACTCTAATCCAGGAGATGTTTTTGGGAAAATTCGCTAAACTCTAGGTTAGTAGTCTAATAGTCTAGGATTTCCACGTCATTTCCCTTCCACAAGTAGAAGCAGCAAAGAGAAGAATGTGGACCTGCATATCCTCATTTTGCCCTTATAACTAAACTACAACTTTCTTTTCCTACCCAAGAAGGAATTTTATAGATACATTTTTCTGATCTTGTAAAGCCACCGTTAAATTCCAAATTTAAAAGCAAGCTTAAATTACTCATTAAATATTTAGCCCCTCAGTGTTCTAAACAGTGTAAGTAAGTCTGGGACCAAGTGGTCACCAGAGAGCTAAATCAGTCCTTGGCATTCAGTGATCGGGATGGACTGAGAGGTCCTACAAGCACTATTAAACTCTTCAGTAGCAGCCCAAGATTTATGAGCACGTGAATAATGTACTCTAGTTGAAGAATATAGATGACCAAAACTTGGGCTGTAGAAATAGAACTGGAAGAGTCAATTTGAGAAATAGACTTACCAGGAAAAGGCTGATAGAAATGTAGGCTTACAGACAGATTTCTGTCTGTGATGACTTGGTGGTGATGGCATCAACCTGGCACAGGATACAGGAAGAAAATATTTTCTTTTAGGCAGAAGGATGTCGGGGGAAATAATCGTGACTTTGGACTTGATGAATTTGAGATGCCTGTTGGACATGAAGATGTAAATATTTATTAAGCGTTGGAAAAATACGGGTCCTATAGAGATGAGGGAATGTTCAGGGCTGAAAATGTACATTTTGGAGTCCTAGTTATATAGAATCTTGAAGGTATGGGACTAGATAAAATCTACTTTATTTCTTTTGCTGTACTTTCTTGATTTGTCTCTCCTGTGATCTGTGTTTAGTTTTAAATGAAAATTATAATTTGAAAATGTTTGTGCTTTTCCTGTTCAGACATATGTCGCCAACATTCTGATTGCAGTGAACCCCTACTTTGACATACCTAAGATATATTCTTCAGAAACAATAAGGTCATATCAGGGGAAATCTCTTGGGACCATGCCACCTCATGTTTTTGCAATTGGTATGTAATTTAATTGTATCTTAAGTACCTTCTTATATTGTAGAAGTTAACTGAGTTGAATATGTTTTGGAGGACTTGCATGCATTTATGGTATATTAACATTGTTAGGACCATATATTTTACGTAGAGTGGGGAAGAATATCTTTGCAGCCAGCTCATGGTTTAGTCATATATTACCTATGTTAAAAACCTATGTCCTTCCTAATAAATGTGTCCACCCATTTGAAAGCCAGACATTATAAAATCTGACCTGATGGTTCTTTTGACTCCTCAACACGGCCAGCTCCATATGAAATGTGTAATTTTTCACAACTTTGAGGCCCCAGACCTTCCACTGTTATCCGTGTCATCATTTGTGAGTGTTACTAGGTTAGATTGGAGCTGTGAGAGCAGCTTCTTTTGTGCATGATCTTGTGTCAGGGCTTCATAAAACTGAAAGTGATATAGCTTCATGTTGTGAGGAATCAGCTTCGAAAACCATAGTATCTGTCTTTGCCTTTCTCATCCCCTCTCTCATCTTGAAGCACTATAGCTCTGAGGCACAGAGAAATGAAGTTATTTGACCAAAATTACAAATTGTCCTCACTGGTAGCTGGTGGCAGCAAATACAGATGTTAGCTAACTCTTTTGAGCCAAACATAATGAACAGTTAAATTGTAACATTCTTAGTGTTGGTTTTTAGTGCAGTTTCTCTTGCTCTCTCTCTCTCTTTTTTTTCTTTCCCTTCATTCCTGTTTCAGCCTTCATTTCATGATTTAGGTGACCATGGAATTAGTAGGCAGGGTAAACATGTCAGCCCATATCCGGTGCAGCAGTAGGTTAATTTGTTGTACTGAGAAGCTCTAATGAGCATTGGTATGTTCTCTCTCATCTGGCAAAAATGGGACAAAACTTAGAACCTCAATGTGAGCAAGCTCATCACTGGAGAGAAGCTATGTGTTTAAAATAGAAATAAACCAACTTTTATTTTTAGACTTTCACTGCTAATAAAAGGTGTTTAGAGTGATTCCACAGAAGTATGTAGAGCAGGTTGCTGGTAAAATTGGTCAAGGAGATGGGCATATTCTAGCATTTAGTGTGTAGTTGGTACTTAGAGTAAAAGCCATTTGTAAATCTTTATTTTTCAAAGATAAGTAGCACATCTCTGAAGTGAGAAACAGTTGTCTTAGGGCCATATTAGTCAGGAACTAGTTTTGAATTAAAGTTGTTTTAATTGGAGATTTCTTTAACAAAATACTGAATTAATTTGTACTTAACTGGTTCCTCTAATCTTATGTATATCTTACGTATATATAAGAGGTTGGCTGTTAACTAAAGGGTTGGTGTTTCGAACCCACCAGCCACTCTGCAGGAGAAAAATGTAGCAATCTGTTTCTGTAAAGCTTACAGCCTTGAAAACCCTATGGGCAGTTCTACTCTGTCTTACAGGGTTGCTATGAGTTGAAATTGACTTGATGTCAATGGATTTTTTTACAGGTTAGTTATAAAAATGTGTATGGGTATGTATTTGAAATGGCAAATATAGGAAATTTAAAGCAGTTAATTTTTTCTATCTTTGAAATGCTAATAAATTCTGTGAGATGTTTAAATTTGATAATAGTTTCAAAAGAAAAAAAAAACTTGTAGATATATTTCACAGTTATAATTATTTTTCTCCAGCAGAATTTTTGGTTGCCAGGTAACTTAATTGGAAGCTTGTTACTTCCTGCTTTTCTCTGGGGACTTCATTAGTTATGCTTAGGGAGCGTTTTTTATCCCTCTGCAGATCTGCTCTTGTGTTATGGAGTCCTGGGCCCCAGCTAATAATATGGAAATATTCCAGTACAGACTTAAGAGATGTTTATTTGGATTTCATATTACTCAGCTGTCAGGATAATAAGAGTATTTTCAGTAAACACTTTTAGAAATGTTTTGAAATTCTTGAATGATTTTCATTTTAAAATTTGATTAACTATAAAGTACACATTTATCATTTCTTTAGGAGCAAGTACTCTTTGATTTTAATGAAATTTCTGTCTTAAGTAAGTTTGTATGAAATAGATTGTTCACCTTTAATGTGTTATTTTGACCCTAGCTGATAAAGCTTTTCGAGACATGAAAGTGCTAAAAATGAGTCAATCTATCATCGTCTCTGGAGAATCAGGAGCTGGCAAAACAGAAAATACAAAATTTGTTCTAAGGTCAGTATTCAGGCAATCTGGAATATTTTGAACAGGTTGACTTTTATTACTGCTTTTGGCAGACATTTGAAATGGTGGGCTTTATCCCTTTTAAGAAACATGCATTTCATGTACATGCTAGTGGTAAATTGTCGAATGCCAGCTTTAAAATGTTATTTTCTTGGGGATTCTGGAGGACACCAGTGCTGGTTAGCAAAGGGAAATCTGGGAATGTTCAACCTTTCTATTCTGTTCTCAATATCCCTGCTGTTAGTGTAGGTGGAACATTTTTTACTGCATGTTTGTGATGATTGTCTCCCTCCCCCTCCTTTTAATTTTATTTTCCCACCTCCATTCCCATTTGCTGCCTCAAATTAAACTCTGTACTTTTTTTGCATCTTGGCATTTTAAAAATGGAAAGAACCATAGCCCTAATTATAGTACTTTCAATTTTCAGACTCAGGGAATAAATCCAGTGGTGAATGTTCTGCTAGGACCAGTGCATTCTGAATTCTTTTCAGAGCTCCCACTTTATTACAGCTGTAGGTTGATGGTTGTGTGGCACCACACTTTTTGAAATTTTGCTGTTTGTTAATGCCAGTGTATATGCTGTTCTGTTATTTACATAAAATCTATCGAAGAGTTTATTATACATATGCAGTTTTGGTTAAGTGAATGCTCTTATTCTTTTCGTAATGTATGTGATAGTCATATGGTGAGTCTCTGCTGATATACACCTGATAATGAACAAAAAATTAAGAAACTGTAAACTTATGTTGTGATAGAAACTTATATTGTATATTGCCATTTGTTTTGAAATATAACAGGCAAATAGCCATTCTAACATGTTGTACCTTTCAGTGTGGCACAATGTGAATTGTGGTAACTTCCTAGTGTTTCAGTGGCAGATTGCCTTATTTTCTCAATTGAATTAATAGCCTATCATAAATGACTTTGGTATCTCATACAGAAGAGAATATTCCTGCATGAAATGTGTGTCATATTTAAAATCAAATTGTTAGTTAAAATCAGAATGTCCCACAAAGCAGTTAAAGGAAATACTGATTTGAATGTTAAAGGCAGTCAAAATAGAATTTTAAATAAGTTTAAGAAGCTGTGACAAAATACTTGGATCTAAACATACGCTTGTAATTTTTAAACATACAGATACTACAACTAAGTTTCTTTTAAATGATATTAAAGCTGTAAATATAATATATGCAATCTTACTGTTGTCTAAACATTTCCTTATCCTATATATTACAGGTATCTGACTGAGTCTTACGGAACAGGTCAAGATATTGATGATCGAATTGTTGAAGGTATTGTTAATTTTTAAAACTCCATTTCCTGTTGTGATGAATGTAATGAAATTAAGTTAAGGGAATCCTTTCAGTGATCTGGAATGGTCTTTCCCCAGAGGTCCAAATGACTCCCATCTTTTCCACATCTTTGCTCAGTTAATTATCATCTTCTGAGTTCCTTCATTTTAGTGTCCTTCCTCATCTCATAAGAGCTCTAATAGGACAGGAATTTTTAATTTATATCCCAAGTGCTTGGAATAACCCCAAACCAAACCACTGTCATTGAGTTGATTCTGACTCATAGTGACCGTGTAAGACAGAGTAGAACTGCCCCCACAAAGTTTCCGTAAATCTTTATGGAAGCAGACTGCCACATCTTTCTCACGCGGAGAGGCTGCAGTTTTGATTAGCAGCTGAGTGCTTAACCATTGTGCCACCAGGGTCCTTTTGTCTCTGGAATAGTACCTTACAAATAGTATGTGCTCCATAAAAATCTGCTGAATGAATGGAAGAAATATAGGAAGCTCTCTGGCCTCTTGATTTTGTGGACCTGGTTTTCTTGCTTTTGACTTCCACCTCCCCAATTGTACTATGGTAATGTTTGAGATGCACCAGGAGGGTATGTTTTTTTTGTCTCCCACAAGAGTTACTGGGAATAAAGTGCTCTTCAGGCAAATTATTTTAAAGAAAGAATCTGTGTGGAAGCTGATTTCCTTAAGCTGTTTGTGTTTGTATATCCTTTAGAAATTCTTCTTATAGTCTATGTGGAAATTTCTCATCTAGGCTATATCATACTGAGTCTAGACACCACAGCTTCTACCCCTCCCCTATCATAGACTCCTGTCTGATTTCTCTACTTGTATTCTTTCTTTCCATTAATCTATTCTCTGTATTGAAGCTGGAATGATTTCTTTTGCTTTAAATCCTTTAATGGCTTCATATTGCTCTCAAGATCAAGCCCCAAATCTGGAATAGCACCTCCAGTGCCAGGTGTGGTCTGCCGTCTTTGCTTTGCTCCAATTATGAGTCATGTTTCCTCTGATTCCATGCTGGTGTCCTGTAGTGCTTTGGAGGTGTTTAGATTTCTCTGAAAACGCTTTCTCTTTATCCTTTCCTCACTTTTCCCCCACTGGGCAAAAATAAATAAATAAATAAAAATATATAAAAGTAAGTACTTTTATAATGGTGATGATTCTGTAGCATATATAAGAGGTATTGGGCATTGTATGATGTGCTTAGAATCTGTTACTTAATTAAATCTTCAGAGAGTAAGGTAGATATTATCCACCTGTTTTACAGTTAAGAAACTGAGGTAATGAGAGTTTCAGTAAGTTGTCCAAGAGTATATTGCTAAGTTGTGGAACTGCCATATAAACCTAGGCATCTTAACCATTCTGTGCTACACTAAATACACACTGTAGCATCTTCTGACATTTAAAGAATATCAGTTGAACAAAAACTTATAAGGGTGTAATATATTCATGCATTTTGCTAGGTAATAGCAAAAGGATGTGCATTTTTTCCACAGTTAAGTAAAATGTAGCTTTTGTTGTTGTTGTTGTTGTTGTTGTTATGTGCCGTCAAGTCAGCCCCGACTCATAGCGACCCCTCCTTGGGTTTCCGAGGCATTATCACTACGGAAGTAGGATTGCCCAACCTTCCTTCCGAGGAGTGGCTGGTGGGTTTGAACCGCCAGCCTTCTGGTTAGCAGTCAAGTGCTTTTAGCCACTGTGCTACCAGAGCTCACATAGTGGCTAAGACACTTGCCTGCTAACCAGACGGCTGGTGGTTCAAACCCACCAGCCACTCCTCGAAAGGAAGGTTGGGCAATCCTACTTCCGTAGTGATACTGCCTCGGAAACCCAAGGAGGGGTCGCTATGAGTCGGGTTTGACTCGACGGCACATAACAACAACAACAAAATGTAGCCAGGTACTTCTTAATACAGCTCTAATAAATATTTTTAAACTTGTTTGTTAATAAAGTTTCTCATTTTAATGAAATCATCTTAATATGAATAATTTTCTAGTTGTACTTATAATTCTCAATTGTGGTTGTGTGACACCAGATGTGAGTGATGGATTACCAACAATAAAGTACCTTACTTAGTGACAAAAACACCCATTAAAATTGAATAAGTAAGTAAGAAAGGAAAAATTATAAGTTAACTCAACAGATTATTGTTTTGATTCATTCACTTGAGATGCACATTCTCTTGAGAATAAGCTGTAATCTTCGTTGCTTTTTATGGTCTCAGAAATGTTATATGCTGTTTGTTTTCTTTGAATACTCTTTCCCCACTTCTTTTTCTACTTTGCCAACTCCTGCCTATCCTGTAAAACTTAGCCCAGACTGATATACCTAAAACTGTTACCTAATTTTAGTTAAACCTTCCCAACTCCCTAGATTGGTTTGACCACTTTTTCTTATACTAGTACCTATCACACTGATTTTACTTCTGTGTAACACTCAGTTCCTTATGAGGAGGACCATGGTAAAACCAAAAACCAAACCCACTGCCATTGTGTCGATTCTGACTCATAGCGACCCCATTAGGTTTCTGAGGTGGTAAATCTTTATGGAAGTAGATTGCCCAGTCTTGCTTCGACGGAGTGGCTGGTGGGTTTGAACCACGAACCTTCTGGTTAACAGTCAGATGCCTTAGGCACTGTGCTACCAGTCTCCCTAGAGACCATGGTAGATAATATAATTACTAATTTTCCCATCTCCTTCATTTTGCATAGTAGTAGATCTACTTTGGTAAAGGTTGTAGCCAAGAAAACCCTATGGGGAAGTTGTACTCCATCACACAGGAGGGTCACTGTGTGTCAGAATTGACTTGATGGCACCTAACAGTAGCAATAGCATAGTAGATACAAACTAAAAACAAACTCAACTGCCATCTAGTCGATTCCTACTCATGTGACCCCCATTGGGTTTCTGAGGCAGTAAATCTTACAGAAGTAGATTGCCCAGTCTTCCATCCACGGAGTGGCTGGTGGGTTTGAACCATCAATTTTCTGGTTGGCAGTCAAATGCAAATAGTTAATAAATATCTATAGGCCTTGACATTGCATGCAGATTCCTCCTTGTTAATGTATTCTTTAGGTCTTTTTTCTGTCTGTCTTTATCTACTTACCTGCCTACCTGTCTATAAAATTGTTGTTGTTGTTGTGTGCCGTCAAGTTGGACCCGACTCATAGCGACCCCTCCTTGGGTTTCTGAGGTGGTATTACTATAGAAGTAGATTTCCCCATCTTCCTTCCAAGGAGTGGCTGGTGGGTTTGAACCACCAGCCTTCTGGTTAGCAGTCAAGTGCCTTAGGTACTATGCTACTAGAGCTCCTGTCTATAAAATAGAATCTTACTATTTGTGCTATTTGGCAGTTTTTCTTTATGTTAATTTTTTAATGGATTAATTTCATTTTCTCAATAGCCAATCCACTTTTAGAAGCTTTTGGAAATGCAAAGACTGTTCGCAACAATAATAGCAGTCGATTTGGAAAATTTGTAGAAATACATTTTAATGAAAAGGTAAGTGACAATCAATTTTTGGTGGTATATTTGGAGAGTGTGTGAGAAGTAGAAATGTCTTGATAGAATTGGTGGTGTCCATCATTTCTGGGTAAATTGGAGTTGCAACTGTACTGGAGCTCATAGTAAATCCATGTAAGTTTCTCTCTGTTACTTTAAATAATTTAGAGAAAATACATATATTCACTTTATATGAAAGGACTATCCAAAAGCTTCTTTCACAATTTATAACCCAGATATTGGATTTGACTTCAGCATTGAGTATTACCTTAGAGCTGCTTCTCTTGTAAAACATTCTAGCTGAACTTGGATCAAGGTGAAGTGCAAAACCAATTCTGATTCTAACGGGACTCACGACTTCTAATGAAGATGTTTCAAATGAGGGACAACTTCTGTAGATACTTTAAACCTACATTTTGTTATAATTTTTCCCGTTACTTGATAAATATTGCAACTTCTTTACTAGACAGTTGTTATTAGAAAAAATGAATAATTTAGTATTGATAAGTTATACTTTAAGACTTTAAATGCAAAAATGTATTTTCTCTTTTTTGTTTTTTAGAGTTCAGTTGTTGGAGGATTTGTTTCACATTATCTTCTAGAGAAATCTAGGATCTGTGTTCAAGGCAAAGAGGAAAGGAATTATCATATCTTTTATAGGTTGTGTGCTGGTGCTTCTGAAGACATTAGGGAAAAACTTCATTTGAGCTCCCCGGATAATTTTCGGGTAGGTTGAATGAAAAGAAATTTCATACAATTTGTGCAAATTGAATTGCCTTCAATTCTAAAATTTATTTCAGTGAGATTTGGATACCTAATTGTATGTAAATTTCATTAAATAAAGTGTAATGTGATAGAATGACAGCTATATTGAGTTATTTCTGTTGAAATTTACTGACAAGTTTATAATATACTACTGTATGAGGAGATACGTAATGGGATATGTAAAAGGATAGATGTTAAACCTCTTATTAATTTAAGCTTGATAAGAAATTTATAATAGTTCTGTAATGCTAGCTTTAACGTTACCTTTGACTTATCTGTAAAAACAGTTTGACCAGTGAATTAATATTTATAAAGGACATATAATTGTCTTCCTTAATTTAGTTCAACAACAAATATTTATTGCCTCCCCAGGGGTATTTATTGCATTATGCCAGGGGTACAAAGAAAAATAAGACACAGTAGTTTCTGTTCTGAGCAATGTAGAATCTCGTAGGAAACATATACACACACATTAACTGATACATAATATGTTGAATAACAAGAGAGACAGATGCATAGACAGCTGTGACAGCCTGGGAATGTTAGAAAGCTTACTGGAAGAGGTTTAATTAGATGAAGAAAGATGGGTAGGGTATTTCTGCTAAATGGAAGAGCATGAATAAAGAAAGACCAGAAACATCTAAAGGGTAAGGCAGAAAGAAGTGGGAGGTGACACTGGAGAGCTTGGTCTTACTTCTGTAGTTAATAAACTTTAGGTAGAAAATTAGATACCAGATCTATATGCTTCACTCTGGCATTAGGATGGAAGATAACTTTAAGGGGATAGGGAAGGAGTTAGGTAGAAATTAAAAGCAGAGGTGGACTGATTAGGAACCTATAGCAATAGATAGAATAAGAGATACTAAGTGCCTAAATAGGAGTCCTTGGGTGGTATAAATGGGTAAGCATTTGACTATTAACCAGAAGGTTGGTGGTTCTAACTCATACCGTAGACAAAGGGCTAGTGATCTGCTTCAGAAAAATCAAAGGCTCTGAAAACCTTTTGGTGTGCAGTTCTACTCTGTAACACGTGAATTGGATTTAACTCAACAGTGACTGGTTTTGGTAGTTTTCAAGTGCCTGAATTAGGTCAACAGTAGTAAGATTACAGAGGAGGGGATATGCAAAATATTAGGAAGTGAAATTCATAAGTCTTGGACATTGTATATGGTACAAGAAAGATAAGTGTGAAATAATGTTTCTATTTCTGACTGGAGATCCTGGGTAGATGTATAATACTGTTATTGGGGTCGTATGTTGGTTTTGTGGCATGCAGGATGGATCACCTAAGTGTAGATGTCTGGAAGACAGTTGGGTCAGTACTCTGGTGATAGTTAAAACTGCAACAGTGTGCAGATGAGATTGTCCAGGGAAATTTCATAATGTAGAGAAACATGCCAGGGTGCAAACTCTGGAGTTGAACAGGATGAGCAGAGGAAGAGTTTCCCAAGAAAGAAAGCACATGTGGAGTAGTAAGAGAAGTACAAGGAAAATCAGGAGTTCTGAGTGTCACAGGAGCCATGGGAGAAGAATTTCAGGAATGTTGACTGGGAATGGCATAGCATAATTTACAGATTCTCATCCAGAAAATACTGTGCCCGTAAGGGGGTCTATGGAGTCTCTGGTGCAAACATTCTTGGTTGCTAATTGAAAGGTTGGAGGTTTGAGTTCACTCAGAGATGCCTCAGAAGAAGGCCAAGCAGTCTACTTCCGAAAGATCAGCCCTTGATAACCCTGTGGAACACAGTTCTCTAACATATGAGCTCACCAGAAAATTGACTCAGCAACTGGTAACTGGTGGGAATCATGGGATGGGGGTAAGGAATGTAGTTTGTACAAAGGTGCTCAGGTGTATTAGTTTCTTAGGGCTGCTGTAATTAATTACCACAAACTCTATAGCTTAAAAACAACAGCAATCTGTTGCCTCACAGTTCTGGAAGTTAACAATTGGGATTCAGAGTGACAGCAGGTTTATTCTCCAAAGGTTCTAGGGAAAGATCCTTTCTTAACCTCTCCCAGTTTCTGGAGCCCTAGACACTCCTTGGCTTGTGGAAGTATGATTCCAGTATCTGTCTCTGTCTTCACATGATCATCTTCCCTCTGTGTCTCTTCTCCTCTTCTTATAAAGGACATCAGTCATAAAAAGATTAAGGCCCACCTGAAGGATCTGATCTTAACCTAACTAATCACTTCTACAGGAACCCTATTTCCAGATAGGGTCATATTCACAAGTGGAGGCATGGGAAATCAGGACATTAACATGTCTGTTTTGCAGACACAATACAACACATAATAACACCAGGAATTCTAATAATCCTATTTGGGTAGAATCCTTCATTAGAGAATTATGACACATATGATTGTATTTAATTATTGTGCTCTGTATGTGTATATGTTATGTGTATTTTGTTTTTATGGCCCAACTTCTCATTATTTCAAGCAATTGCTTTTAATATGTAATCAGAAATTTTAAATTTTATGCTATTAAAATGCATCTTTTTTAAAAAAAATACATTTTATTGAACTATAATTTATGTACAGTGAAATACACAAAACTATAGTGACATGGTGCATAGGTTTCAATGTAGAAACCTTAGTCTTACAGACTAAGACAGACTAGGAAGAAGGAGGAGGCCATCCACTTCTCAAAAATTGGCCAAGGAAAACCTTATGATTAGCAGAGAAACACTATCTGATACATTACTGGGCAACTTTATGAATACCTTGGAAACATTGTCTGACACGGTGCAGGAAGACTAGCCCCTTGGGTCAGAAGGCACTCAAAATAGGATTGGGAAAGAGCAGCCTCTTTCAAATAGAACCAACCTTAATGATATGGATAAAGTAAGTCTTTCAGGACCTTCATGTGCTGACGTGGCACAACTCAAATCAAGGAGAAACAATAATCGGAACATGGAATGTATGAAGTATGAATCTAGGAAAATTGGAAGTTGTCAAAATGAAATGGAATGCATAAAGATTGATATCCTAGGCATTAGTGAGCTGAAATGGACCAGTTTGGCCATTTTGAATCAGACAACCATATGATCTACTATGCTGGGAATGACAAATTGAAGAGGAATGGCGTGGCATTCATCATCACAAAAGGTGTTTCAAGATCTGTTCTGACATACAGTGCTGTCAGTGATAGGATAATATCCATACACCGATAAGGAATACCAGTTAATAACGACTATTACTCAAATTTGTGCACTAACCACCAAGCCAAAGATGAGTATATTGAAGATTTTTATCAACTTCTGCAGTCTGAAATTGACCAAACATGCAATCGAGATAGGTTGTTTATCACTGGTGATTGGAATGCAAAACTTGAAAACAAAGAAGAATCATCAGTAGTTGGAAAATTTGGCCTTGGAGACAGAAATAACACTGGAGATCGCATGATAGAATTTTGCAAGACCAATGACTTATTCATTGCAAATACGTTTTTTCAACAACACAAAGGGTGGCTATACATGTGGACTTTGCCAGACGGAGTACACAGGAATCAAATTGACTACATCTGTGGTAAGAGGCAATGGAAAAGCTCAATATCTTCAGACAAAACTAGGCCAGGAGCGGATTGTGGAACAGACCATCAACTGCTTATATGCAAGTTCAACGTGAAGTTGAAGACAATTAAAACAAGTCCACGAGAGCCAAAATATGATCTTCAATATATCCCTTCTGCATTTAGAGACCATCTAAAGAATAGATTTGATGCATTGAACACCGATGACTGAAAACCAGAAGAATTGTGGGATGACATCAAGAGCATCATCCATGAAGAAAGCAAGAGGTCATTAAAAATACAAGAAAGAAAGAGAAGACTAAAATGGATGACAGAAAAGACTCTGAAACTTGCCATTGAGTGAAGAGTAGCTAAAACAAATGGAAGAAATGACAAGATAAAAGAGCTGAACTGAAGTTTGCAAAGAGCAGCTTGAGTAGACAAAGCCAAATTACTATAATGAAATGTGCAAAGACCTGAAGTTAGAAAACCAAAAGGAAAGAAAATGCTTGGCATTTCTCAAGCTGAAAGGACTGAGGAAAAAAATGTAAGCCTTGAGTTGCAAAACTGAAAGATTCTGTGGGCAAACTATTGAATGATGCAGGAAGCATCAAAAGAAGATGAAAGGAATACACAGAGTCACTACCAAAAAGAACTGGTCAATCTTCATCCATTTCAGGAAGTGGCATATATTCAAGAACCAATGGTATTGAGGGAAGAGGTCGAAGCTGCACTAGGAAATCGGCGAAGAACAAGGCTCCAGGAATTGATGGAATACCCATTGAGATATTTTAACAAATGGATGCCACACTGGAGGCACTCAGTCAGTTATGCCAAGAGATTTGGAAGCCAGCTACCTGGGCAACTGACTGGAAGAGATCCATATTTATACCCATTCCAAAGAAAGGTGATCCCACAGAATGTGGAAATTATTGAACAATATCATTAATATCACAGTGTAAGTAAAATCTTGCTGAAGATAACTCAAAAACAGTTGCAACAGTATATTGACAGAGAACTTCCAGAGGTGCAGGCTGGATTCAGAAGAGGATGTGGAATGATGAATATCATTGCTGATGTCAGATGGACCTTGGCTCAAAGTAAAGAATACCAGAAAGATGTTTACTTGTGTTTTATTGACTATGCAAAAGCATTTGATGGTGTGTATAAC